TTCAAGTGGTCCCTATGTCAGAACAAGCCGACCACCTTGCATGAGTTCCTGGCCAGGGCACAGGACTACATCATGGGGGAGGAATCCATGTCCATCCCGACTATCGATGCGGCGCCATCCAAGGGAAAGTCCAAGGAGGATAAGTCGGGAAAGCCGAGCAAGTCTATGATGGAAGTCCGACCTCTGAGGAAGTAAAAGGCCGAGGAGCTCAGGGAAAACTACCAGGGCGTCTTCTCGGTAGGGGCAACTGCGGTTTACGAGCAGATCAAGGCTAAAGGATTACTCCCCGACCCGAAGCCGATGCAGGTCGACCAAAGCCGGGTTGACAAGTTCCAGTACTGGGCCTATCACAAGGGGCATGGGCACAAGACCTACTAGTGCCGGAACTTGATCACGGCCCTGTTGAAGCTAATAGACGACCTCTAGTTGAAGAAGTTCACCCACTCCAGTGAGAAGAGAAAGAAATGGGGCAGGTTTGAGGACGGTCCCGACAGTGACGGTGACTGCGACATCCACCATCGGAGAAAGAGGTCGCAGCAGGGCAGCAATCAAGAAATCATGACTTTTTGTTCGGCCCATCAAGATGAGGCTGATACTTCGAGAAGCGGAAATAGAGGTCGACCCTCTGACTAGGGGAACGACGAGCAGGTCCAGGTTGATGACTTCCAGGCGGGGCCCGCCGTGATCGGAAGCTGTCGTCGTTGTCGGTGAAGTCATCCGGACGGCAGAAATGGGCGTGACCCTCAGCGGCACCACCGCCGTCGGCGGTGGAGAATAGACCACCATCTCCCCCGTTTCGAACGCCACAACATTCTCGGAGAGACTTGCGCTGTCACCAGAGTTTGCCACGAAACCCGAAGAGCTCGACATAGTGAAAATAAGAAAAAGAAGAGTTGAGAAAAGTTGAATTACTGGGATAAAAATCGCCGAAAAAGCTCTGCAACTCGTCTCGAGAATCTCGCTCTGAGAACTCTCTCGCTCGAAAAATCGCAGAAGGTAAAAAGCTCCAAGGGGATTCTGAAATGGATATATATAAGCGTTCGTGAAAAATCGAAACGGGACACGTGGCAGATTTTTGAAATTCAAATAATAAATGGAGTACAACTATCTCGATAGAACGGTTGGGATAAAGCCACGTGTACGCCACGTAGACGGTCGACGAAGCAGCACGCCTTTTCAAAACCGACATAATGAGTGCAAAGGACGTGCCGCATTAATGACGCGTCCCTTCAACTCGCGTCATTAAGATCGAACGGCCCATGAAACTTAAAGTGTAATAGAGATTCCGACCTAAAGGGCAGGGATCAACTCGGGCCCAGTATCAAAACAACAACCTCGGAGGAGAGAATTACAACCTCTGAGGAGAGGATTGAAGCAGCCCCTCCCCATCGAGCCCGGGGGTCTGTATGTTGATATCCGAGTTGGGTCGATGTGATAACCCCGAGGTGAACCGGGGAAGGACGATTTGAGAGCCCGGGTCCGACCCGAATAATTGTGATGTGTCGGTCTGACCGAGAAGCAAAATTGATTCAATGAGCGAGAAGAATCTATTTCTAGGTCGGCGCCTCATCCGCGTTAGAGCGGATCCGACCTAGTAAAGCGCCGAACTCAGAAGTGGAGCCCCGCGACCGAGGGGATATTTCGATGAAGAAGATCCAACCTGGAAATCTCCCGAGGTCGGCATCCGGCTATCTACGGGCCTCGGAGCCAATAAAGTATTGCCACTTGTCAGTTAATGATTGCCGATGAAACATGTCCCCATACTCTGACAGCCTATGGAGCCTAGTCCGGCTTAAAGGCCTGTCAGCATTTAATGCAACTCATACCAACATTAAATGCCTGATAGGTAATGATTAGAGAAACCTTAAATCACGCCCAATCTGTCAGGGAGACGCCGGCCTGTCCCTCAGATGCACTGTACGACAAGACAGGATGAACAGTGGGGGAATAATACCAAATTGAAGACTACTATAAATAGAAGATCCCTTCATTTATTTAGGGTTGTTGAATCTCAACTAACTCTGCATTCTCTCTGTTTTCTGTCTCTAGAATCTGTAATAATCCTGTTAGAATTCCAAGTGTAGTTAAGCGTCGACCTCATCCACAGAGGCCGACCTCGTAATTACTTAGTAAAATTCCTTTTTCATAATATCTCTATCTTATTTCACCTTTCTACTCTTCAAATACGTTATTTTAACCATTGATCGGATCCGTCTATCAACATAATTTTTATTAAGAAATAAATATATTTATATAAATTTAACTACAAAGTTGTTAAATGATATAATTTAAAAAAAAAATTATAATATAAGATGGTAAGACGTATAAGTGATGAGTTTATTTTAAATATATATAGTAATATAGTATTCAAAAATGTATTTAAAAATTAAAATATTTTTTTACTATTTTATTTAATTTTTGTTGATATGCGAAATTGTATCAACGTAAAAATACACCTCTATTTCTGTGAATAATCGGTGTTGAATCAAAGTGTATTTTTATTGAATTTTGGGAGATGAAGATCTATCCCTTTTTCTTTGGTTTTGTTGTAGGAGNNNNATTCTCTCTCTCATCCTATATATATGTGGCCTTTTTCTAACAAGTGGGCCATAAATAAAAGAAAAAGTATTACAAGAGCATTTAATGTGAGATGACATCGTGGGGCCTAATCGTGACACTTAACTGCTTCGCTTGACGTCTACTTTATCGGCAATTATTGTGTCTGCTGGAGACGGACCTTCTCGATATTCGGGTCTGGCTGATGATATTAATTCTGCTCGACTCGAACGTGGATCATCTGGGTACTTGGGAACTCGGCCGATATTAAATAGTCAGAGAACCTGATATATTTATATTAATTTAATACATATCCAAGTGTAGCATTTTTATTAATCGAGACCAAATTGAGTATCAACAATTTTAAATATAAGTTTCTTAAAAAGCACCCGCGCAGTACAAGAGTATTGTACTAAGACCACCCACAATGTTTTGAGCCTCTTAAAAAAATATCACATGCCACTACAAAACATACTTATTCTATAAAAGAATATTTTCTAATGCAATTAAAATTGGAAATGGTCTAACTTAAGTGGCAATAAAAAATGAGACCAAGTTCACTCTTGAGTCTATTTTAGAACTAGGTAAAAACATGAACCTCAACATTTATTCCTAATTTAATTTTTCGTATGAGAGCATTTTCATTGGTTGACAGATATTTTAAACCTAGTATTCTATATTTGCATCAGATAATTTTTGAGTTTTTATTTACTTTGTTTGTCTATGTCAAGAATTAAGTTCACTAGTATTCGACCTGTGCATTTGCACAGATATAAATAAAGTATTGTGAGTTATTTGTATGTATATAATGATTAATGATTTTTCTTGCACTTTTTTGCAGGCCAAATTAATTAAAGGAACTGGAATATTTATTTTTTTAAATTACGTTTATCATGTTGGATGTAATGTATATTTTGATATGTATTTTTTTGTGAATTATTTATTATTTATTTAAGAATTTCAAATACGTTTTTTTATTTTTCAAAAGAAGTTAATTAAAATGTAACCACAAAAATAACAAATCACGTTAGATAGTCAACACATTATATGGTCAGTTGTAAGTAAATCAAAAGTTTAAAATGATTTTTGTAATTTTGAAGTAATTAGTGTGTTGATTATCTAATAATTAAATGAGAGGTTAAATAAATAAAAAGTAACGGTTTTTGGAGGAAAAAAGTTATATTGCCATATAGATATAATTTAATAGGTTTTATTAAATTCTCGTGAGCCAGCAATTATATATACTAGTAATCAACTTGTGCATTTGCACAGTTACAAATTCATAGAAAAGAAAATCATAATTTAATTCAAGAAAAAATGGTAATTAAGAAAAGAATTCTAAATGTTATTAAAAAATATTTTATATACAACATTTATATTTTATATACAATATTTTAATATAACGCCTTAGAAAATTTGACATCTCTTGATTAGGTAATGCTTTTTTATTAAATGACATTAGTAACATAATATTGCACCATAACATTTAGATTGAGAATAAGAAAAAATATATCAAGTTCGAATATGGCAACATGATAATGAGATATATTGGTGTTTGAAATATAATTCATTATTAATGATTTATACAATTAGATATATTGTTTTTTCTTGTAAGTGGATATATATTGAAATAGATGACTGGATATTTTTAATTTTATTTCTTAATTATTTGATTTTGTAATTTTATTTCTTAATTATTTGATTTTGTAATTTTGGAATCTAAATTATTGTGTGAATCAATTTTACGTAATCAAGCATAAAAAAAATTGAATATATATATATATATATAAATAATTATTTTTGTACATTCATTCAACAAATAAGTAAAGTGAAAAGAAAATAGGCATGAATCCTGTCAGATCATATCGAAGAATGAGCATTACATCATTTTGTAATCTGAATTATTCTATAAAATTATTTTTATGTAATCGAAGATAAATGAATTTTGAAAAGAAAATAAGTATGAATTCTTCCAAATTAGATCAAATAATGATTGTTACATAATGTGAATGATGGGGAAGAGGTGATAAAAAATGTTACACAATTGAGATGAGTAAAGAAAAAAAGAATAAATAAATAAATTAAATATTTTGTAACCGAATGTAACAGTTTTAGGTGGTTTGTGAAAACTAATAAAATTGAATGTTAAAAATTTTGGAGGGATAATAAAATTTAATGCAGAAAACTAATAAAATTGAATATTGAAAGTTTTGGTTTAATGCATGATAATACAATTTAATGTTTTGTTGCTCCTCTTTATATATATATATATATAGAGATGCGCTCAAATAAGAATGAAGCACAATGAAAGAAATAAGAAGCTTATGGACCTTTAGATCTGTAATTCCAACGATATAGATGAGGCCACGTAACATCCAACTGTTGGTGAAAACGCGGTGGCATTTCCGTGATTATGTAATAATACAATGGTCATTTATGTAGGTCTGAGGGCAGTATCGTATTTTGCTAGGAAGCCTAGGGCAATTGCACGCTACACTCAGTCGGACACATTCATTCATTACGAGTTTAATGGAGGCACAACTCCCACAGCTCTAGAGAAGGCGGTTTCGTGGCGATTTTCCGATCTGGTATGAAAAAAAAAAAAACTGAAAAAAAATATTTTCTGTTAGCATTTTGATAGACGACTTTGAACATGTTGTAATGTTTGTGTATTTCTTCCAGATGCGTTGATTTTTTTGAATGAATTCCAGCCTGACGTTTTTTTTTACTGCAACTCGATGATGGGAAACTCTCCCAATTTGGAGAAACCAGGTAAGATCCTTGTTTATTATGTTCTATTTTTTGGTATTTGATTATTATTTTGTAGTGTCGACTGTTTTTATGGTATACAATAGGCATCTAGGGCTAGTATTTTTTGGATTTTGGGGAAAAATTACAGAAATCGTATGAAACATTCGTTCTATTTGCTATATTGTTGATTTTTTGTTCATGGTGTAAGACATTAGGTTAGGGCTAGTATAATGCTTTCGGGTTTTAGGTAAAACTACATGCGTCCTATGGAGGTTTGTTGTATGTTTTGAGAAAAATTCTATGGCACTTGTATATAGTGATTTAATTTCTTCTGTAATTTGCAATTGTCGGGCCTGTTTGGCCATAACGAGATATGTAATTGACCATACATCTTTTATTGTCAAAGCTGGGATGTTATTTATTTATTTTCAAGTTTATTCTGTTGATTATGATAATCGTGCAGATGCTGCCACACCCGATAGACCGCTTATCGCATGGAAAGGTATTTGTCGATTTGTTAGGGTGCCATTGTTCATTTTTCTTATTTTTTTATATATTTTTATATCGTGAACAATGCATGTTTGCTGGTGTTTCTAACGATTAATAAAAAATGGCAGCAACTCGACGTCGTTCAGGATCGCCTATAGTTCAACAAATTGGCACATTTGTGAAAGGCGATTGTGTTCGAGAAGGTGATCTTAATACGAATAAATTTCCTGGACGTTGTAATTAGTTCTTGAAATGTGACATGAATGCTGCTCTTTTTGTTTTTTAGTGTTTATTTATTTATTGGTGTATGTCCAGCTTGTAAGAGGCCAGTGGATGCCACAAGGCGAGATGGTGCCCGTGCGAAGCGTGCGAAATCACGTGCAGGGAAAGTAACCCAGCGTGATAGTGATGATTTCGTTGATGATGTCCCTCATCCGCGTATGGCTGAAATTACGAACAATCGCGATGGTATATGCAATCAATTACGTGTGGCTGTTCTCGTATATATATATATAAATGTATATGTGTGTCTATATCTCTTGTGTTATGTGTTGACGAATCTCATATTTATTTTTCAGTTAAGGGCAAGAAAGTGATTGCTGCTAGTACAGACGATACTGATGTCGATTATATCGTTGATGATAATGGCACGGACAGCGATGACGACGATATGTTCCCACGTTTGAATACAAGGTCGTCATCGGGTTTATTTGTGAAGGCAGTATCTGGTTTGACAGACATTCAGAGGCATGCAGTTCATGAGATGGGACTTGGATCTCTGTTGGACTTGGGTATAACTTCAACTCCATCGAAAATGGGATTTTGGTTAGTGGAAAAATTCAACCACATGGACCGTAAATTGCAGCTATATAGCGGTGAAAAGGTGCACGTCAAGGAAGAAGACGTGCACGCGACACTAGGTCTGCCTCGCGGGGAAAATGATATTAGAAAAAAACAGAAGAGAGTTACATCGGAGTTACTTGACGAGTGGGTTGGGCTATTCAATGTCAGAATACCGTCAAATATCACTGCGTCCAAGGTGGCGGACAAGATTCAGGATTGCGTAGATGGCGGTGACTGTTTTAAGCGCCACTTTATTGTTCTTATGGTAACATGCCTGTTTGAGAGTTCTTCGAACGGAATGGCAAATTTCCGTTTAGTCCACATGCTTGACGATTTAACCAAAGTTTGCAAGATGAATTGGTGTTCGTATATGATTCGATGCCTCGTGGACACAAAGAAGTCATGGGATGCTATTGGTAAACAAAAGAAGTATACAGGTCCTTTGTTATTTCTGACAGTTAGTCATTCTGTCTTTATTATTTTCGTGTGTGTGTCTTTTCTTCTCGTGTGTACTATTTATATTTATTATTTAACTGTTTGTTTGACGCATTTCATATATATGTGTTAATTGAATTTGTATGTGCATTCGTGTCAGCTATTTTACGTGGACAAGGTAGTGCTGTCGATGAGATCCGTTGAACGATCATTTCCGACTTTTCGGTCATGGAGCAACGAGCTATTAAGGGCTAGGGAACAGGCAGAGATTACAACTGGAGCTTTTGGTTGGGGGTTTGTCGAGGCAGATGTGCCTACAGTTGTTGGCCGCCACCATCACCAGTTGGATAGAGTCGGTGTGTCAACCAATAACGGCGAGGCTAAGAGCACGATGGAACATAGCGTACAGGTATATAATATACTGTTCATAATTGTATATTACCCAACAATATACAGTAACAAATTTATGTGTATAATCAATAAACGAGCTATATAGTATATAACAATCGTACATGATTGACGAAGTGCATATTTTGTGTGATTCATTTGTTGATTTTACATTTTTAGCAAATGCGCAGTATTTGACCTCACATATCGGTTTGTCTACCTATAGTCTGGTTGCATTTGTTCGTATAATGTCTGTTTATATTGGCTATGTATAATGTGCTGCAGTTCATATAAAAATGTGCAGCGTGTTGAGTATAAATATGCATGAAAATATTGTGTTGATATGTGTTTGTGTATTCGTTTTGGGATTCCATTTTTTTTATATATACATTTTTTATTTTATTGTCCTGTTTACGAGTTCAATGGTTTTTTTACAGGCTTATGTTCAAGAATTTACATCCAAGACTCGGCTTCTTGCTACGATTGGGGATGAGATTTTAAAGTTGGTTGAAAACGCTCCACAAGTTCTAGTAAATGATGAAAACTTTATCAAGATGCAAGATGCGGCTTATAACTCCTAGGTGTGTATAACAAAGTGCCCAACGAGAATTCTGACCATCCTGCTACAAGTCAGCAAAATCACACCGTCCACACAAGCGATGTAGCTAAGGACAATGAGAAGGGTGCTTCGTCTCAGTTCGTAGACGACGCGTTCAGGAATAACCCTGAAACATTGGCATCACTAGATGCAATTGTGAAGGCGGCTGAGCGACGTGACCGTTTCAAGAGAATGCAGAGTGACATACCTAGTTTCAGCTTGGGCTTAGGCTTGTCGACGGACGATGATGATGTGGATGAAACACATCAATACGCGAGCGGGGTTGTTGCTAGTCCTGTACACGGTGTAAACAATCAAACAGATGAGAGATCCCCTAGAACGGATGTAAGAATAGGTATTTGACAAAATTACCGTTTATGTGTTCATGTTATATACTCTTATATAGTGTATTAACTATTTATTGTAGCGTTTCTAGTGTG